CCTGACTAGCTCTTACCTGAGGCCCAGTCTGCAGACATGTGGGTGCCCTGCAGCACCCCTTCCTTCTGAGCAGCAGGCAAGCCCCCGTTCTGGGAGAAAGCTGGCCAGTACTGCCGTGAGCACATTAGGTCCAGGGCAGACCTTCCACCCAAGGAGAAGGCCACCCTTGAAGGTCAAGCTTTCCCATCAGTAGAAAGCCAGATTTTCTCCAGTACCGTTTTCCAGACTGCTTCCTCCTAACAAGATGTCCTGCACAATCTGTGCCATCTGACAATAGCTGAAGCTCCCCGCCCCCAACCCTCAGTGCCCGAGGAGGCACACACCCATAGTTAGAGGTTCCCAGACATACCTGCGCAAAGGCATTCTGGAAGAGGAGGCTGTGGGATGCCAGTTGGTCAGTGTTTGGGGCCTTCACTAGTTCATCCCTGCAACTTGAAAGGGTAAGACGTGTTCTAGAAAATAACACCTGTGGCCAGGCGCAGTGGCTCATGCCTGTAATCCCAACACCTTGGGAGGCCAAGGCAGGTGGATCACTTGAGGGCAGGAGTTCGAGACCAGCCTGATCAACACGGAGAAACCCCATCGCTACTAAAAATACAAAAGTAGCTGGGCGTGGTGGCACATGCCTGTAATCCCAGCTATTCAGGAGGCTGAGTCAGGAGAATCGCTTGAATCCGGGAGGTGGAGGTTGCAGTGAGCTGGGATTGCGCCATTGCAAACGAGTGAAAAACTCCATCTCAAAAAAACAAACAAAAACAAAAACAAACACTTGTAAGAGAGTGAGGGAAGTAGAATTGAGTCAGTCCCTCAGGGAGCTCTATGGTTGGGAAGATTCTGTTGAGATGTTGCAAGTAGAGGCTGGAGTCCAGGTGTTGGTACTCTCCACCCTTCATTGACCCCTTGACTGATATTTGGAGAGAGAGTTATGTGCCATCATCACGCAACACCTTTGGCAGGCAGGGGAATGATTATCTCCGCCATCAGGCTGGGCTGTGGAATGACCACAGCATCGACCACAGCCCATGTCTTGCAGGCCTCAGATGGGCTTGCTTCACACAGGATGCTCCCCTCATTTGGGAATAACTTCTCCAGGATTTGGCTTGGCCCTTTTCCTGGGGAGTTGAACATGGGGCAGGGTAGTGGGATGGTGTATGGCCCGCATGACTGCAACTGGCTTTGAAGCCACAACTGATGCTCATGGTCTTCCTCGTCTATCCAATCTAGAGTGCTCTCAGTCTCAGCCACCATGTCTGCTGTTCTCAGTGACCTACCTGGTCGAGTAACAGACCTTTATCCCTGAGGATTGGTTCTGAACCCATGGTCCTCATGACCTTCTCAGACTGTGGAAATTGCATGTGTCCATTTATCATAAAAATTGGGCAAAGAATTATTAGGAGACATTCAAGTGGATCACCTGGGTGCCAAATATATCCTTCTCCGTTCACAGTGTGTAAGAACAACCCTACCTCCTCGTCATGATCAGAGCCAATACCCCTGACAGAATGGCTACTCTTCTTTACACCTGCTTAGTCCCATAGCCGTAGCAGGATGAATGAACCCAAGGTTCCCATGACTTGTAAGTCAGTTATCAGCCATGGCTCATAATTCAGTGGGACTCCTACTGTGTGTACTGGTGGAAGCAGTCCCATTTGAATAGCCAGGATCCACTGTTCAATTAGGTAGCCACTGGCTGCATGTGCCTACTGAGTACTTGAAATGTACCTGGTGTATCTGAGGAACTGAATTTTAATTATCTAAAATTCAGATAAAATAACTAATTTTATCTTAATTTAAATTTAAATAGATGAATTTTGCTAGTGGTGACTGTATTGGGACGGGAAGCACAAATTCCCATGTGGATCACTAGGAGAAATAATAAGTGAGGTCATTCCACTGCTTGGTCCCCTGCTTCCAGACCCAAAGAGGCCTACATGGCATCGTGCTTCCTTCTTAGTGGTAGGTGGTGTGAGATACAGTCATTTGCCTCTGACTTTGGAGGGGTGGTCCTAGCATGCCCCTGATCAGTAGCCCCTTAAATACTTCGTTAATATGGCAGGGCTCTGAATCTTTGGAGGCTTAAGCTACCACTCTCTGAAGTGCTTATGTCTTTCAAAGGCCTCTAAAATCCCTGCCACGTCTTGCTCATCCAGTTGTTAGCATGATGTCATTGATACAGTGGACTTTAGAACCTAAGTGGGCAGACACTGGTAAGTGACCAATGACTTCACCTGTGGTGTGCAAGCCAGATCAGGAAGCCTCTACCATCACTTTGATGTACTGGGAAAGCTATTTTTAGTGTGTAGACTTCATGCCAGATTTGCCCAGATCAGGGGTGGGATGCCCAGAGCTCCTGGTTGTTGGAAGTGCTCTACCTTGAGTACAGAAATCCACACCAACTCACTCCCTTCTCCAAGGGGACCCTCACCCTGAGAAATTTAACTGGACCTTGCTAACATGCCAGGAGAACGTCCCTGAGAAAAAGAGCAGTGAAGGCGCACGTGAATTTCCTGTTGCATACCCACAGTGGGCCAGAAACAAGACCATTGGATTTTTACCTCGTACTTTTGATGTTTGGCAGTCATTGATTCTAGTTTGGGGGTGAAAGAGATGACACATGTATTGGAACCTTCCTTGGGGACTACTAGTCTTAGGGACAAACTGCCAAAATCAAGCTAGGCAGTGGTGGTCAGAGCTATGGGATGGAAAGCGAGGGATAGGACATACAAACTGACAGCTGGAGGCCCAGACACTGCCCATGTTAGCATGGTTGGGGACAAAATAAGGTGGAACAAGAGTGGGTGGAACAGAGAACAGAGTGGGTGGAACAGGAGCAGTTCAGGGACTCTGCAGAAATAACCTATGGCTCCTCAGAGAGCTTACAGGGGAAGCTTTCCTTGAGTACCCAGATGTCAAAGAGATTGGCAGAGGCAGGAAGGACATGTTCCCAAGCAAAAAGTAACAGCAGCTAACTTTGATTTCATGGAAGGTGCGAGTCCAGCTGTGAGTCAGAATAGGGAGACAGGCAGTGAACAGAGGACAGAATGATGACCTGCAGTGCTGAGAAACGGGCCTATGTATGACTTGGTCCTCAGTCCCTGACCCAGGGGAACACCAAGGATGCCGTGGGGTGCAGGGAGGGCCAGAAGAGCTAAGTACTCAATTTCTACAAAAGGGCCCGTGCCCCAGGACAGGCCTGGGAGAAGACATACAGATGATCCCTACCCCTAGTCCTCCAACAAACACATCTGCCTCAAAACTGACATATTCTCAGCTGGTGGAAGCATCCAGGAAAGATAACACATGGCTCCATGTGCAGCTGTGGTGCCTGTGGGGCACTGGGGGTTATACCACCAAACAGAGCTTGGACAGTGTCCCCAGCTCCTGTTCTTTTTAAAACTGTGTTAAAATATATATCATATAAAAGTTACCATGTTAAACATTTTTAAGTGTCCAGTTCGGTGGCATTCAGTGCCTTCACATCATTGTACAATCATTGCCCCACTAGCCTCTATTCTTTTTAAAAAATTTAAACTTTTATTAATATTTTAGATTTAGGGGGTACATGTGTGGGTTTGTTATAAGGGTGTATTGCATGATGCTGAGGTTTGGGGTTGGATTGAACCTGTCACCCAGGTAGTGAGCATAGTACCTAATAGGTAGTTTTTTAACCCACATCCTCCCTCCCTCTTCTCTCTTGCGGTTCCCAGTATCTGTTGTTCCCGTCTTTATGTCCATGTGTACCCAATGTTTAGCTCCCACTTACAAGCAAGAACATGTGGTATCTGATCCTGTGTTAATTTGCTTAGGATAACGGCCTCCAGCTCTATCTGTGTTGCTGCAAAGGACATGATATCATCTTTTTATGACTGTGAAGTACTGGTGATACAGATGCGCCACATTTTCTTTATCCGGTACACCGGTGATGGAACCTTAGGTTGATTCCATGTCTTTGCTATTGTGAATAGTGCTACAATGAACATACCAGTGCATGTGTCTTTTTGGTAGAACCATTTATTTTCTTTGGGATATATATCCAATAATGGGATTGCTGAGTTAAATGGTAGTTCTGTTTTAAGTTCTTTGAGAAATCTCCAAACTGCTTTTCACAGTGGCTGAACTAATTTACACTCCCACCAACAGTGTATAAGTGTTTTCTTTTCTCCACAGCATCACCAGCATCTGCTGTTTTTTGACTTTTAAATAATAGCCATTCTGACTGGTGTGAGATGGTATCTCATTGTGGTTTTGATCTGCATTTCTCTGATGTGATGTTGAGCATTTTATCATGTTTGTTGGCTGCTTGTATGTCGTCTTTTGAGAAGCATCTGTTCATGTCCTTTGCCTGGTTTTTAATGGGGTTATTTGTTTTTAGCTTGTGGATTTAAGTTCCTTATAGATTCAGCATATTAGACATTTGTGGATGCATAGTTTGTAAGTATTTTCTCTTGTTCTGTAGGTTGTCTGTTTACTCTGTTGATAGTTTCTTTTGCTGTGCAGAAACTCTTCAGTTTAACTAGGTCCCACTTGTCAATTTTTGTTTGTGTTGCAATTGCTTTTGAGGACTTAGTCATGAATTATCTGCCAAGGCCGATGTCTAGAATTTTCTTCTAGGATTTTTGTAGTTTTAGGTGTTACACTTAAATATTTAATCCATCTTGAGTTAATTTTTGTATATGGTGATAGGTAAGGATCCCGTTTCATTTTTCTGCATATGGTTAACCAGCTTTCCCAGAACCATTTATTGAATAGTAATTCCTTTCTCTATTGCGTATTTTTGTTGACTTTGTTGAAGACTTTGTTGTAGGTGTGCTTCATTGTTCCTGGGCTCTCTATTCTGTTCCATTGGTGTGTGTATCTGTTTTTGTACTAGTACTATGCTGTTTTGGTTACTGACGCCTTGTAGTATAGCCTGAAGTTGGATAATGTGTTGATTCTGGCTTTATTCTTTTTACTTCGGATTCTTTTGGCTATTTGGACTTTTTTTTTTTTTGGTTCCATACGAATTTTAGGCTAGTTTTATCTAATTCTGTGAAAAATGACATTGGCATTTTGATAGAAATAATTTTGAATCTGTAGATTGTGGATATATGCACATTTTAATAATACTGATTCTTCCAATCTATGAGCATGAAATGATTTTTCATTTGTTTAAGTCATCTATAGTTTCTTTCAGCTCTGTTTTGGAGTTCTCTTGGAGAGATCTTTCACCTCCTTGGTTAGATGTGTTCCTAGGTATTTTAATTTTTCGTGGCTATTATAAATGAGATTGTGTTCATGATTTGGCTCCCAGCTTGAACATTTTTGGTGTATAAAAATGCTACTGATTTTTGTACGTTGATTTTGTATGCTGAAACTTTACTGAAATCACTTTCAGTTCTAGGTGCCTTTTGGCTGAGTCTAGGCATAGAATCATCAACAAAGAGAGACAATGTGATTTCTTTTCCTTTTTGTTTTGTTTTGTTTGTTTTGTTTGTTTTTTGTGATGGAGTC